CAAAATTAACCACTAGGCCACAGGACTGGCCCAAGACCTGTATTCTTCTCTTACCCTGCTCCAGTAGAATGTAAGCTTGATAGGGACAGAGGTCTTTTGGTCTGTTTTATTTACTGCTGCATGCCCAGTGTCTCCAATAGTATCTGGCACACAGTAGGTGCTCAACAAATATGTGTTGAATGAATAAGTGACTATTGGTATTACTCTTAATGGAGAGTTTTGTGAGCGTTTGGATGTGTAAACATCGCTCAACAAGAACCAACAAGGGGTCCCTAAGAATCGAAGACAGCTCTCATACCCTCCTCGAGGCTTCTTTCCACCAGGCTGTTTACAAACCTCCCTCCGGGACAATCTCAGTTCAGCAATCAGCATCCTCTGGGTACAGACGTTCAGCCAATTACAAACCCAACCAATTATTCTTTCATCTGTCACACATTTCTCTATCCGCTCCATGGGGCACAGGGCTCTCATCAGCAAATTGGCCGAATGCCTATTAAAGTCTAGATAGTTGCTACCACATTTTCCATGCCTAGCTAGTCACCAAATGAAATAAAGTTAGTCTGATATGACTCATTCTTAGTGACCAAGCAAATGCGAGAGGCTCAATTTGTTCTATTGGTCTCAAAGTGCAAGGAAGTAGATATCAACTCAGTTTAAGGAGTCACTTTCTAAGAGTCAGAGCTGTACAAAGTAGGATGCACTGCACGGAGTACAGTGAGTGTCCTGTCAGTGGGGGTATTCAAGTGCAGGGTGGTGACATTGTAGGATGGGTGGTTGGGCTAGAACTAGGTTGAACTTCAAGGCCCCTTCCAACTGAGAGTCTTTGATTCATGCACACAGGCCTCACAAGAGTAAGTGGCATACTGCAGGCTGCAGAAAGACAGCGGGGCTCAGCAGGTTAACAATGAGCTGGCCAGGAAACCCAAAGACTGATGCATTCTAGTTCTGCTATTGCTGATTCAGTATAAAATTATTTCTTTTTTCTATGTTTCTTACACAAGTACAAATACTCATTTAGTACTCTACTCTGTGCAAAGCATTCCTATTTGAAAAATAAGAATGGAAACGTCAACCAAGTTATCAATGGAGTCTGAAAAACAGTGAGTATAATCATCTCAAAGTCAGTAAATAATAAATAACAACATGCAAAATACGATGTCCACAGTTGCCTTTACTCATCATTACAGGTATCAGATGATAAAGCACTAGATGTGAAACCCACAGTCTTCTTGATACCAAAGACACGAATCCCCGTCCAGTAGACTGAAGTGCTCTATCCCACACAAAGACCGTGAACAGCTGGGAGTCTCATGCGTGGCTGAGAAGTAGTGATTTCAAATTAGACCTCAAAGAAGTCTTGCCACTATATGATCCAGCAATTCTTCTTCTAAATATATACCCAAAAGAATTGAAAGCAGGGACTTGGACAGATACTTGTACACTCATGTTCATAGCAGCATTATGCACAATAGCCAAAAGGGGGAAGCAACCCATGTGTCCATTGACAGATGACTGGATAAATAAAATGTGGTATATACATACAACGGAATATTATTCAGCCTTAAAAAGGAAGGAAATTCTGACACATGCTACAAGATGGATAAACCTTGAAGACTATGCTAAGTGAAATAAGCCAGTCACAAAAGGATAAATATTATATGATACCACTTATAGGAGGTTCCTAGAGTAGTCAAGTTCATGGAGACAGAGAGTAGAATGGTGGTTGCCAGGAGCTAGGGGGAGGAGGAGGCAATGGAGATTTGTTATTTAATGGGGACAGAGCTTCAGTTTGGGGAGATGAAAAAGTTCTGGAGCTGGATGGGGGTGTTGAGGGCACAACAACATGAATGTACTTAACGCCACTGAATTGTACATGTAGAAATGGTTACAGTGGTAAATTTTATATTACGCATATTTTAGCACAATAAAAAAAGTCTAGCCAATGTTTTGCAAATTGATGGTACCTGCCTGTTTCTACCCTTCTCCCCTCTGGAAGATATTCAGATAGATTTAGATGGGTTGCTTTAGGGTAAGGAATTGATATAAAAAGTGGTGCTTTTTTGAACACTACTTATGTATTTTAAATTATATTATTTGTTCAGGAACATAAAGGTCTATTATGTACATCTTGGCTTAATCATAAATTAAGCATGCTTGGTTTATTACATTGACTAGTCTACCTTTTTTAGATAATAATTGCACAGTTACAAATTGGATTAGCTTTCAAATACACTTTTGGTTAAAAATAGATGCTGAAATTTAAGGAACTGAGTATCTTTTATTTTATTTCATTTTTGCAAGTTTATGAGAAATGGAAAAAAATTTTTTTTAAATCTCTCAACCTCACAGCAGCAGCCAGGCTGACTTGGCTGGAAGTGATGTGATGCCTCATTAATCACTAACAGGATGCCTGCCTTGATTCTGAGCTTCTGCCTCCCTCCCGTGTTCTGTCCTTTTAACTGGTCCCGATTTCCCAGTCCTTGCTCTTGTCCCTGCCACAGATCTGGAGCACTTCCCACTGTCTCAGTTCTTACAACTGGGCTTTTTGCCTCATTTCCTCCTTGCATAGCTTTCTAAGTACTCCCAGTGTCTCCTTCTCTTGCCAGTCTCTCCCCAGATCTGGCTCCCTGCCCCACCCCCAAGCACGGTAGGAAGGGGGCCCTTCTTCTAGGGGACACATCTCCCTGATGCTGCCTGCCCAGACCCCTCTGATTGCCAGCACTCTCCTCTGCCCACGCATTGGGGCGGCCCACTTCTGGACTCTGACAGGGTCCAGACACAGCTAAACTGCTGGGCTCTGTGCCTCGATGGTGAGACCTCACAGCTGGACCAGTCCATCCCCTGACTCCTAGCCAGACCTCCTCTTCCAGTCCCCTTGCACTGCAGCATCTACTTCCAGAGTCTCTTTGCCTGTACCATCTTGAGGCTTGTAATTCTCCACATCCCAAGAGATTCTGGGACAGGAGACACGCTGAGCTACAGTACAGAGGTGATGGCGAGGCTCTGGGAACTAGGACTGTGAGGAGAAATCTGGTGACCCCAGCCAGGGAAGTTCTGCAGAGGGAGGAAGGAGACTGGATGGGATATGTATTTTCCTCCAAGACTCAACCTGCGGAGGCAGCAGCACCCCCACCTGTTCTAGTCCTGCTAGCCTCCTCCCTCCCTTAACTCCTGCTGTGGGTCTTGTCTGCATCACGCTGTGGGCCCACTGTGGTCATTTAACACCTTGCATGGTGACTGAGCTGCTCTGTGTGGCTTGTGTCCCCCACTGCTTCCAGTGGAAGCCTGGGGCCAAGTCTTGAATTTTTTACGCACTACTAAACTTAGCTCAGACATGTGGTATATGCTCAATAAAGACCAATTTAAAGTCTTTGAAGCCAGTGTCATCCCTTACAAGAATTTACTCCAGACTAGGCAATTTGCTAAACGGTTTATATGGCTTATCTCATTTAGTCTTCAAGACAACGCTGTGAAGTAGGCAGTATTATCACCCCTATTACAGTTGAGGAAACTGAGGCATAACTAACACGTCCAAGACCACCCAGTGAAGAAGCAGAGGAGCTGGATTTGAACTGAGGCCAAGGCCGCCCCTTGGCAGCACATGGCCTCCCCTTTGATGGGGAGAACTGACTCATCAGCTCAGCAGCCACAACTCCCCAGCCATCACCACAGCCCAGGCTGCTGGTTTATAGTTCAGAATATTCAGAAGGGAAGGGAGACTAGGAACAGAGTAGTCCATTCATTCATTCACTTATTCTCTCAATAAACAACTGCACAGTGTGTCGATATGAGGCTGTCTGGCTCAATATCTTGGCCCATCTTTCCTCCTCCTGGCTACCCCCATCTCATCCTCTTTGCCTGGTGAATGATGGCTCTGCCTTCAAGACTCAGCCAAGATATCTTCTCCTCCAGGAAGGACCTTCCCTTATTCACTGCTATTGGGACATGGTTAGGGCTCCAGAAATGTGTGTTTTTGACTTAATGTGCCCCTTACAATTCCATAATGCACCCCTGCCTCCAGCTCTGGTGTTTGTAAGCTGTGGATATTTAGGGATTGAAGAGTAAGTTTATCTTTCAGGAGGTTTTGGAGGATGCTTTTTAAGAAACTGTACAGGTGTATCCTGCTTTACATAACAGATGTATTTTAAAAAGGTTGTGGGTACACAAACTTTTTATGAATTAAAATCCTATTTTCTCATTGCTGTATGTTTCAGAGATGACATTCTAAATTGATATTAAACTTCACTTTTTAAAGATGCTGGGCCATAACACTTTAAGAACAAGCTTCTCTCAAGTGAACCTCTCTATAGGAGGAAATTAATCCATACACAATCCCTTAAGTGCTCTGACATACCTTTACATTTAAAAGAACGCTTTTGGAATCCTTTTACAAAACTAGTGATCACCTTTAGTTTATAAATTTTTATGGTCAGATTTTGGGAGCTCAAATTAATTCTGATTCGCACGTGTATAGCCAAAATCAAATAGAACTAAATAGCTCAAACAAAAAACGATCGGTTCTCAGCAAACCGTCCTCCACCTACCCCTCCCCCACCCAGGAGTAACCACAGTCAACTCCTTTGGGCTCAGCGATTTCCCTGTACTTGCGTGGAGTCAGAGCTGAAGCCCACAAGCCACAAAGCTTCAACGAAATTATTTCTTAAGCCCTATTAATAGTGATGGAAGCAGCCAGGCTGAGCCAGCGGGAAGCGAGATGGCTTGACTGTCAGCATGCCCAGCAGATGCTGGAAGACCTCTCCCACACGTGGTCTCCGCTACAAGACACCGTCACCAAGTGTCCTGAAGGATGATGCTGAGCTAGAGCGGGCTACGGTCTTAGGACAAGTTCAGAAAGGCCTGACAAAGGAGGAACAGGGGCAGAAGGTATCAGAGCCCCCCAGCACATAATCCTATGCTACTCTATGCTGGGGAGATTGCCGTGGCCCCAGTGCCCATAGCGATAGCATAAAAAAAAAAAATTTTTTTTTTGCGTAACTTACTTGTGCATGTTTTTTCATCTGGGTTAAGAGCAAATCCTTTAGGGCACCGGCAAAAGTAGGAGCCGTCAGCATTTACACACTCATGTTCGCATCCATGGTTTTCTGAGGCACAGTAGTCCACAGCTGTAAAGATTAAAACACAGAGTTTAAGTAGAAACACAAACAGAGGTAAAGGAAATGGTAGAATGGAAGCACACTTATAACAAATATAAATAACGGTTAATATTGTTGCCCAAAAATAGAGTATGGATAAATAAATATGAATCCAGGGGCTCCCTCCCTCAAAAAAAAAAAATCATCAGTCTAGATCAGGCAGTTTATGTCAGAAGATAAACTAAAGAACATACAAACAATTGTATTTCAAAGTTAAAGAAATGCAAATAAAAATAATCACAAGACACACTTACACCTATTAAACTGTAAAAATAAAGACAAGATAGGGGACGGCCTGGTGGCGCGAGCGGTTAAGTGCACGTGCTCCGCTGCGGCGGCCAGGGGTTCGCCAGCCCGGACCCGGGGCAGGCACCGACGCACTGCTTGTCCAGCCATGCTGTGGTGGCGTCCCATATAAAGTGGAGGAAGATGGGCACGGAGATTAGCCCAGGGCCAGTCTTCCTCAGCAAAAAAAAGAGGAGGATTGGCAGATGTTAGCACAGGGCTGATCTCCTCACAAAAAAAATAAATAAAGACAAGATAAAACCCAGTGGTGGCAAAGCAGCATGGAAACAGCCAGTTATTAACGGTGAGTGGCATTAGAAATTGACAAAAATCCTTTTGGAAGGACATTTGACAATGTTCACTCCGTAAATGTGACGCAAAGAAATAACTGAAAAAAGAGGAAAATGAACTATATGGAATAAGCTATTTACAGCAGTATTATTTACAGTGACAAGAAAATTCTAGAAAATAAGACGAACATTTACTAAGGGTAAACGGTCTAGTGATTTCTGAGAACGTTCACTGGCCTATTTCTGATTAATTCTACAAATATCTACTGAGCACCGACTCTGGGCCTGGCCCTGCTTTAGGTGCTCAGGACAGAGCAAGCAACAAAACAGATGACTCCAGTCCTCCAGGAGCTTCCTTTTGGATGGTGGTGGTGGCCAAAAACTTAAATAAATAAGTAAATAGCATCGTCTCTTAGAAGGTGGAGAGTGTTCTGGAGAAAAATAAAATGGTGAAAAGGAACAGAGGCTGTGGGGATGTGGGAAGGAGGGTGTGATGCAATAGAAGTGGTAGGAAAGCCTCCCGAGAAGGTGGCAGCTGGGCAGAGTCTTGACTGAGGCACAACGAGCCATGAGGATATCTAGGAGGGAGCATCCAGGCAAAAGGAACAGCAAGTGCAAACAGGAGATGGGAATATGCCCAGTGTGCTACAGGATCAGCGAGGAGAACAGGTGGCTGGAGCAGAGAGAAAGGTGGGAGCGGAGAATGGGTGCAGATCAGGAGGGACTGGGGGCCACTGCAAGGACTTGAGTTTTTACTCTGAGTGAGTAGGGAGTCATTGGAGGGTTCTGAACAAAGGCATCAAGAATAGACCATAGAGGGCAAATGCAACAGTAGAAAACCAGTTAGGAGGCTACCACAATAATCCCAGTGAGGAACGGTGGAGGCTTAAACCCGGATGGTGCTGGAAGGAGGGGAGGGGAGGGAAGTGGTATTCTGGGTGTTATGGGGTGAATTGTGTCCCCGCAAAAGGTATGTTGTAGTCCTAACCCCTGGTACCTGTGAATGTGACCCTATTTGGAAATAGGGTCTTTGCAGATATAATCAAGGTAAGATGAGGTCATTAGGCTGGGCCCTAATCCAATATGACTGGTGGCCTTTTAAGAAGAGGAGTATGCCACGTGAATACACAGACACACAGGGAGAAGACCATGTGAAGACAGAGATTGGAGAGATGCAGCTGCAAGCTGAGGAATGCCCAGGATCAACAGCCACCACCAGAAGCAAGGAAGGATTCTGTCCTACGAGTTTCAGAGGGAGCACGGCCCTGCCGGCACCTTGATTTCAGACTTCTAGCCCCAGAACTATGAAGCAACAAATTTCTGTTGTTTTAAGTCACCTAGTTTGCGGTACTTCATTATGGCAGCCCTAGGAAACTAATACACTGGGTATATGTTGAAGGTGTGGCCAATAGGATTCCTGTTGGATTAGAAATGAGGTGAGAGAAAAAGAGAGGGATTAAGGCTGACTCTGGGGATTTTGGTGTGAGCAGCTGGCAGGATGGAGCTGCTGTGAACTGAGATGGGGAAGGTGCGGGTGGAGCAGGTTTTGAGGGGGAAGATCACGCATTTTGGGCATTAGGCAGTCATTAACATTATAATTATGATAACATAATTGTAAATACGAAGACAAATAAAATTTAGTGAAAAAATAGATCTCAAAAATGTATATTTACAGTGGTTATATCCAGGTAAAATATGCTGTAAAGCAAAGCCTGGAAATTACAAATAAAAATGCTTGTTAAGGTGCTAGAATAATGAATGAATTTTTTTGCTTTAAAAAATGTTTCCCCGGGGCGGCCTGGTGGTGTAGTGATTAAGTTCACGCACTCCAGTTGGGCAGCCAGGGTTTGTGGGGTCGGATCCCAGGCGCGGACATACACACTACTCATCAAGCCATGCTGTGGCAGTGTCCTGCATACAAAATAGAGGAAGACTCGCACAGATGTTAGCTCAGGGACAATCTTCCTCAAGCAAAAAGAGGAGGATTGGCAAGAGATATTAGCTTAGAGCCAATCTTCCTCACAAAAAAAAAGTTTCCCTCTATAATGTTTTAGGATATTTTAATATCAAAAGTTAGTAAAGGGCCGGCCCTGTGGCTTAGCGGTTAAGTGCGCGCGCTCCGCTGCTGGCGGCCCAGGGTTCGGATCCCGGGCGCACACTGGCGCACCGCTTCTCCGGCCATGCTGAGGCCTCGTCCCACATACAGCAACTAGAAGGATGTGCAGCTATGACATACAACTATCTAGTGGGTCTTTGGGGGAAAAAAATAAATAAATAAAAAATTAAAAAAAAAAAAAGTTAGTAAATAACAAAGAAATGGAATTTGCAAAATTAATACACATTGGGGCCGGCCCGGTGGTGCAAGCGGTTGGGTGTGCGTGCTCCACTGCGGCCGCCCGGGGTTCACAGGTTCAGATCCCGGGCGCGCACCAATGCACCACTTGGCAAGCCACGCTGTGGCGGCGTCCCATATAAAGTGGAGGAAGATGGGCACAGATGTTAGCCCAGGGCCAGTCTTCCTCAGGAAAAAAAGAGGAGGATTGGCAGATGTTAGCACAGGGCTGATCTTCCTCACAAAAAAAGAAAAAAAAATTAATACACATTTACAATTAAAAATCAAAACTATCCATTGGGAAGATAATGACATACTTAACATAGTGATCAAAAGATGCAAAGGGAAAAGCTAAAGATTTTTCAAGGGTAATAACCTGTGTTTTTTTTTCTTTTGCTCTTTGGCTTCATCAAGTTTTCGTCTAAAGTATCATTTTTGTAACGTCACCTCCCTAAAGAGTTCTAATAGCACCTAATATTTGTAGGTTTAATATACAAGTCATTATGGTGGGAATAGGGCATTCGCATAGTCTCAGGATCTGAACATGATGGGACATTACCCAGTTGCTGGAGTTGAGTCACAACATAAACACTGAGCTAGCACCAAATCCTTCTAAAAGTTAATTTCCCATCTTTCAAGAACCAATGGATCATTGAACAAATAACTAGGGACCCTGAGGACACTGAGATCAAGGATACCAAGCCCTGGCACACGCCCCAGTCTGCATGTCACAGGAGTTGGCCATGCTGTGGCTCACAGTGGCCTGTGTTAGCAGTCGACACTCCCCACCTCCAACCTCCTCATGCTGGGCCTGCTCCGCCATCTCGAAAATCTCCCAACCCCTGATATGCTGTGTGCCATCAGTCAGTCCTACTCCTGGCCATCCACTTCTTAGTATCCCCTCCAAAGAGAAGAGCTGCTAATCTGCCTTCCAAGCTCCAGGACATGAACAGTACCACAATGATGAGGGGGCAGGTCACTGTACCTAAAACACAGAAACTCAGACTCTACCTCTCTCTTAAACTTCCTTTTACACACCCCGGGGTATAATCTCTGAACTCAGCCATCTCTGTCCCTCAGAGAGACACCTGAGTATGCTGGCCCCATATTAGACTAGGGAGAGGTTGGAGGATTTGCTTAGGCCTAAAACCTAAGCCACATACTCCAAACTCACCTTTTTCCAGAATGCTTTAGAATAGAGTATCCAATGTTGGATCAGGTGTTAATAAAGTTGTACAGAAGCTTTTTAAATTGACCTCCACTTAACCAACTCCTGATCAAGCAATGCTTTTCATTCCCTCTGAAAAGATGGGACCTCAAGCCCAGAGCATGCTAAATGTTCAAGGCTGTCAGAACACCTGTGCTTTAGAACATCTATGCACTTCTCTCATTGTCTGGGTTGTATGCTTGTAAGGCGGCCATGGTGGAACTGTGCTCTGGAACACCTGTGTACTTCTCCTTTTCACTGATTGGATGCTTATAAAGCACTGGTTCTCAAAGTGTGGTCCATGAACTAGCTGCATCAACCATGCTTGAGAACTTGTTAGTAATACAAATTCTCGGGCCCCATTCCAGACCTACTGAATCAGAAACTCTGGGTGTGGAGCCCAGGAATACATGTTTTAACAAGCTATCCAGGTAATTCCAATGCCTGCTAAAATTTAAGAACTGCTATTAAAAAGAGTCAAAGTTGTTTTCGTTTCCAAACCTATATATGCCATCTGTACATGTTATTGTAATTAATTTAAATACTATAAAAAAACAATAAAATATAAGCACTAAAACAATTGAGTTTTTTAAAAATAAAAACTAAGTTGAAAGCTTTGGAAAGACTTAGTTAAGGCGATTTGCCAACCAAAATTGCTGTAGAACCAGGCATGGATGAAACGAGTGTCAAAACTTCGGGAAAATTTCATAAAAATTTACAAGGATTCTGCCCTTAGATTGCTTTACAGAAGTCTTCAAATTCTTGCTCCAATTTAAAGAAATGAAAACTGAAAACCATAGACAATACATTATGGGTATGGTGTACTCAAGAAAGATTTTTAAAAATCATATATTTT